TTTTTGTCCAGTTTCAACAAGTTTTGGCGAACGCTCGGGAGCTGAGCACTCCTCCAGCCTCCCGTCCCAACCAATAACACAGCTCCTGCAAACCCCTCGCTAGCGGGGCAGTGTTTGCCGCTCTGACTCGATAAAAAGTGCGAGGATGAATGGAAGTTGCCTAGAAAATACAGTTCCTAAGGGGTTCTTCTGGTGCTTTTTATTTCGGCAGTAATTTTCATCACAGCGGTGAAAATATTGAGGACATCAAATTATATGTGATAGAGTATGACTGTGATACGCTGATGAAGTTTCATAATTAATATCATCAATTGTTTGTGTTAGTATGGATTTTTATTTACCAGCCCTGGAGTCCCTACAATAGTAGAAGCAAGAGCCATAATAACAGTGATAATGATAATCTCATCTGAAATAACTGATTCCAGATTCAAGTCTTCTTTTCTGTAAGGGGGGGGGGGGACCAGCCCCCCCAAAAAAACTCGAAAAACGTCCATACCCGAGAATTTCAAAGACACCTGCAAAAACTCCAACTCTTGACACCGCGTCCAACCCCAGATCTGCTCTCTGGGTTATCACTGCCGCTCAAAGCAAGACGTGCGAAGTTCTGCCTTGCAGAGTGCAAAGAGCAAGCTGAAAATTATAGGCAGGGAGAAGTGCCAGGGTGGTACCATACTAATCCTTGCTGAGACAACAACTTGCTTTGGAGGCTCGCAGAGAGTCCAAAATTTAATTTCGGGAGAGAAGGATCTGTAGACAATATAGTCGAGTTGGTAAAAACCTGCCTTACAATAGCCTGCCAGAAGGTGAATGTCAGATCAAAGGAGAACTGAGAAGATGTCCTTTCATATTTTTTTTTCCCTAAATCAGCCATGGAAACTTCATGACTCCATAAAACATGTGCTGCTTTGCTGGGGAGACAGCCTCCAGTTTTCTCTCAGAAAAGCTGCTCTACCCCCCCACCCTCGCTGCTCAACTCTCTTGTTTTGTTTTTTCTTTTCGAAGCCATGATGCCCAAGTCACGTAGCGCCTTACGCATTTCATATCATACACTAATGGTTTTGCTCTCAACTTTCCACCTCTCTCCCCAAACAGGAACAAAGTCAGGAAACGAGGCACAAGACTCCCCTCGTCATGAGGAAAAGAAAACGACTTTACAGAAACCTCCTGGAAAAGTCAAGTAAGTTAAAATATATCTTTTTTTTAAGTTCAAAGGAGACGATTTTTTTTAGCTTAGTGTTTAACGCACTTGCATAAACACAAATCAGCGACACAACTCCCCACCAGCAGCTGCCTAATCCTGCTCAATGCCTACTCATTTGGAGGTTCTAGAATTAATATTTGACGACACTCTCATTGAAACAACAACCCCTGACCCCATGTGATTGCACTGTCACGTTATTCTATGACATATTCATCTTGAATTCATTTACGGACGATTTGATTGGAATGAGGTTTGACATGTATTGGATCCTATTAAAGATGAAGACTTTGATCTTGTTGATGGGGTTTACATGATATGTATCATCTTTACCAGGGATACCAGGCTTCCACAATGTGGTGTCTAAGTAGTTGTTGACTGACAGCTTATCTGACAGGAATACCTTAATCTTGAGGTACTGAATGAAATATTCTATTTAAAATAAGCATATGATTTTCTTGTCCTAGGGTAGCTCTGGGTCACAAAAAGTGAGGCAAACCTAGGCGCAAGCTGTTGTCCGTCTAGTAGCCGACTTCCCGTTATCCGGGAAGCCTGGAAGAAAGTAGTCCCCGCAAGTGGGAACAGGGCGAGGCGGCAGGAACAAAGGCAACGTGCGCTCCCGAGCCGCTCGGTACCCCCTCTCCCAGGAGGGGCTGGGGCTGGCGAGAGGCTGTCTCGC